CAACTGACCCGTCCCCCGGGACACGGCCCCCACTGACTGCCCCTCCCCGCACACGTGGGCCAGCCGCGCTCACCCGGCCTCATGCTACTCGCCCAACGCCGCGAGCCGCCTCACTGCGCAGACACCAGCACCCTGGCCACTGCGCACGCGCAACTCTGCTCCGCCAAGAGCCGCCGCTGCGCATGCCCACAATAACCCCGCTTTCCCCATCTCCGCCAGAAGGAGGCACCACGGGAAATGTAGTCTCCGCTGCCAGCACATGCGCACAACAACGGAGCCGCTGCAAAAAGAGAGCGCTGCGCATGCGTGTAGTACTCGCAGACACCAGCACCCTGGCCACTGCGCACGCGCAACTCTGCTCCGCCAAGAGCCGCCGCTGCGCATGCCCACAATAACCCCGCTTTCCCCATCTCCGCCAGAAGGAGGCACCACGGGAAATGTAGTCTCCGCTGCCAGCACATGCGCACAACAACGGAGCCGCTGCAAAAAGAGAGCGCTGCGCATGCGTGTAGTACTCCCCCGGCCCCTCCCTGGCCCCGGTGTTAGGTCCCCTCCCGCACCAGGACTGTTGAGGCCAAGTGAGTCCACATCAACACATGGCTGATGAGGGCTGGGGGCAGCTGCTGGGATGGGGGAGCCCTGCAGCATACTAGCCTGTTAACCTGTGGAGCTCCTTGCCACTGTGACCCAAAAAAGGCATGGATGACTTCTTTGGCTATTAGCCAAGAGAGCCAGGGATGTGACGCCCATGCTTTGGGCTTCCCTAAACCTCTGCCTGCCAGAAATAGAGAGGCAGGGGGGCGGGACTGGCAGAAAGTAAAATTTTGTGAAATAACCATTCTGAAATTTTGCATAAAAATAAAATTATTTCCTATAAAACAAAAATGTTGAAATTTTGTGCTGGAAATAATTCCCTTACTCTCAAAAAAATTAAATATTTTCCATGAAAAAATTCTGACATGTCCTGTTGATTTATTTTCTGCAAAACACAGGTTTCAAATATTTGATTGCAAAACATTTTAAAAAGTAAACAAAAATTTATCCTAAAACCAGGGCTACTCAATTTAGGAAGCCCCAGGGTCCACAATGATACTCACAGCACATGCCAAGGGCCGTGACTTAAGTGTGGTTGCATATACATGCACATTTATATGCAAATATATGCAAATAGCTTCTTTCACACTGACCTGCATGAATACAAAGATAAAACCTCAAGCCACCATGGGCCAGTGTGAGCCAGTCAGCACCTGTCAGGCTCTGTCCACAAGGCTAAGCAGCCAGCACTTCCCACAATGCCCCAGCACTCCTGGCACCTCCTCCCTGGGGGCTAGAAATGCCGACACCCTGTACCGGTCTGTTCCAGCCAGCCCGTCTGCCTGCGTCTTTCAATGCTCACCCCGTCTGAGAAATGCTCACCGCTGTGAAGCATAAGTGGTGAGGAGTCCTGTGGCACCTTATAGACTAACCGAAGTGTTGGAGCATAAGCTTTCGTGGGCAAAGACCCACTTCATCAGATGCATGTAGTGGAAATTTCCAGAGGCAGGTATAAATATGCAGGCCAGAATCAGACTAGAGATGACGAGGTGGATTCAATCAGGGAGGATGAGGCCCACTTTCAGTAGCTGATTTGGAGGTGTAAATAGCAAGAGAGGAGAAGCTGCTTTTGTAGTTAGCAAGCCATTCACAGTCTTTGTTTAATTCAGAGTTGATTGTGTCAAACTTGAAGATGAACTGTAGCTCAGCAGTTTCTCTTTGAAGTCTGGTCTTGAAGTTTTTTTGCTGCAGGATGGCTACCTTTAGATCTGCAATTGCGTGTCCAGGGAGATTGAAGTGTTCCCCTACAGGTTTTTGTATGTTGCCATTCCTAATATCTGATTTGTGTCCATTGATTCTTTTACGTAGGGACTGTCCAGTTTGGCCGATGTATATAGCAATGGGGCATTGTTGGCACATGATGGCATATATTACGTT